GTTGTTTTAGAGATCTCCATGTTGTCTTATTAAGTACAAAAAGGTTTGTGAATTTTTTTTTTAAGATTTATTAATTTATTATTTGAGAGAGAGAGAGAGAGAGCGAGAGAGCGAGCATATGGGGCAGGGGGAGGGCAGAGGGAGAAAGAGAATCTCAAGCAGACTCCCCAGTAAGAACAGAGCCTGACATGGGGCTCAGTCTTACAAACCTGAGATCATGACCCTGAGATCATGACCCGAGTCGAAATCAAGAGGCAGACATTTAACTAACTGAGCAATCCAGGTGCTCCAGGTTTGTGAATGTTTTATCTTCTTGGCAGGTATCTTTCATTAATGTGAAATATTCCTCTTTGTTTTTTCAAAATTTTTTTGTCTTAGATTGTATCTTGTCTGAAATTTCTATTGCTAAAACTACATTCCTTTTATTAGACCTTACCCAGAACATCTTTATTTTCCTACTTACTGACTCCTTTCGAATATGTAGGCTTGCAGTGTTCCCATCTGTTGGAGTGGTTCTTTAATGTGACCCTTTTGGACTGTGGTTTCCTCCTGGACTTCATAATCCTACCTGCCTTCTGTTTTTCAGAGATTCCTCATTGTCTTTTATTTATACAATGGCATGTTTTGTTTTCTAGCAATATTTTAAATTAAAATGTTTGTGTGTGTATGTTTTCCTGTCATTTAGAGCAGGAAGGAGGGAGGACATTATACCGTCAGGCTGCCATCTTAAACCAATCCTATGCTTTCCTTCATTCTAGATTTCCTTCCTTATCCCTACTCTAAAATAGACCTTTCTCTTTTCCTTTCAGCTTGGTTGATCTTGATGTTGAAGGTGCTGTGAGAGATGGGACAGAACAAAGTCTGTAAATATGTTTAGTCAACATGTACCCAATGAAAAGCTACTTCGGTCTCCATTTCTTTATGGACCAAAAGTTGATTTCAGACCAAAATGCTACAACTTGAGTTCCACTAGTGTGTATTACTGAGTAATTAATTACTCAGTAATACTCAGTAGTAATTACTCAGCTTACATAGCTCAGTGTTATCATCTTTCCATCTCATTTCCATAAAGCTCTGTTTAATTTGTAAACAGTCCATTTTAGACAGCACTACTAGTGACATCACAATATTGGTATTCATTTGGGTGATTTATTGGCAATACATATATCCTAACATCTTCCATGGGAGAAATATGTTTAAAGGCCCCTAACTAGACTCTTGGCAAAACCTGGCACAAAGTAACAGCAATATAACTCTTACCAAGTTCTGGCCATTGAAAGTTACATTTATAATGTACTATTTTTTGAATTATTATTTTTGAGAGAGAGAGGGCACACAGATGAGTTGTAGGGGAAGGGCAGAGAGAGAGGGAGAGGATCTTAAGCAGGCTGCACACACAGTGTGGAGCCCTATGGGGGGCTCGATCCCACAATCCTGAGATCATGACCTGAGCCAAAATCAGGAGTCAGACGCTTAATTGCTTAACCGACTGAGCCACCCAGGTGCCCCTAGAATGTGCTATTTTTAAAGTCAGAACCCACCCCCTCCCCCATATTCTTAAAGGACTAGTACTCTATTTGTGCTCTTATTTTATTTGAAACATTCTTAGCTCATTTTCTATGTTTTATCTTTTCATGCCAGGTACAGAGTTTATTTTCATTTATAGATCAATTCCAACTATAGGATTTCAGACTAAAAAGAGGTTTAGAGTTAATTGGATTACGCTTTTCATATGTTTGAGAGGTTATGTGACTTGCTCAAGTTCATATATTGACTTTGTGGCAGAGCTGGCATCAGAATGTGGGTTGCCGGACTCCAGCACACTTTTTATACATAAGTTTACACTTACAAAATGTTTTAAAAATCCCTCATCCTCAAATTACTAAAAAACCCCAGGAAAGACCAGATGGCAAGCATGAATAATCTCGATTTTCATAGGAGGGAACACTGAAAGGAAAGGATGAATTAATGACTTACTTAAAATTATCCACATCAGGGGCGCCTGTGTGGCTTAGTGCGTTAAAGCCTCTGCTTTCGGCTCAGGTCATGATCCCAGGGTCCTGGGATCGAGCCCCACATCGGGCTCTCTGCTCAGCAGGAGCCTGCTCCCCGCCCCCCCGCCCACCGCCCTGCCTTCCTCTCTGCCTACTTGTGATCTCTGCCAAATAAATAAATAAAATCTTTAAAAAAAATTTTATCCACATCAGTTGTTGTCAGAGGAAAAACTTAAGAGTCTTTACTTGGAGGCGCACCTGGGTGGCTCAGCGGGTTAAAGCCTCTGCCTTCGGCTCAGGTCATGATCTCAGGGTCCTGGGATTGAGCCCCACATTGGGCTCTCTGCCCAGTGGGGAGTCTGCTTCCTCCTCTCTCTGCCTGCCTCTCTGCCTACTTGTGATTTCTATCTGTCAAATAAATAAATAAAATTAAAAAAAAAAAAAAAAGAGTCTTTACTACGAGCCCTGTGTATCTAACAGCCTCTCCATCTTCTTCTCATCATATAAGGCCACTTCCTAAAAAGACAGAGGTACCTTCTCAAGGAACTATCTCATGGTTTCATTCAGATAAGAACACAAAATATAAGTTCATTGTTAAATTGTTAACACATCAAAAGTCTTCTTGATTCGTGGTGACCTTAAGAAAAAAACTTAGCAAAGTCAGAGGCAGTTATCCATTGTAAACCAGTGAATGATTCACCTATTATTTCAGATAAAGTAAAAGGATGAATCACAGTGTTGCCTTAAATTCCTTCCAGCTCTTTGTTTATTGTTTCTTCTTATATGGAATTCCAATTATTCATTAATCTATCCCTAGCTCCTAACAAATGGGGCATATACCAGGCCCTCAAGTAAACAGTTAGTACTAGGCCTTTGTCCTCTGTGTAGGATTTCTAGAGCCCTCTTTCTACCTCTAAGTTATGAATAGTTCTTTAGACTCTGAGGAGTTGGCAAATTCTTTTAGACTCTAAGAGTCTAAGAGTCTGAAAACTAAGGCTGGTGGACCAGCCACATGTTTTTGTAAATAAAAACTTTTATTTGAACACAGTCAGGCCCATTCATTTGTATATTATCTATGGCTGCTTTCCCTACAGGGCAGAGCTGAACAGAAATGACAGCGACTAAATGTCCTGCAAAGCCTAAGATATTTATTATCTGGCCCTTTGCAGAAAAAGTTTGCCAATCCTTGCATTTAGAATCTATTTATTGCCTTTTATGGTCAACCTGGAGTTGAGTAAGTGTCTAGCTAAACAACAAATGTGCCATGACAAATGTTCATAGATCAGCAAAGTGTTAACTTAGTTATAGAAGTCTAATTTAGTGTTACAGATTCATAGGCTTAGCTACTATGAAGATCAGCATAAGTAATAATGATTTCTATTTGCATGGCACTTTCTAGGTTATGATATAATTTATATGTGTTATCTCATTTGATCTTTCCAATAACCTTAGAAAGTAGGCAGGAAAAAGACTCAGAGACAGAGACATCACATATCCTAGAGTTGAACTTAGATTCAAGCATTTTTAACAGCTGAAATGATTCTTTTATCTCTGGAAAACATTTCCTTCAGGGAAAAAAAAAAAGCAGGAAGGAGTTATTAACATTTATCATCTTATAATGCACTGTTCTAAAATAATGTATCAGTAGATGATTTGCAATTAATTGTACTTTGTAATAACATGTTCTGTCTTCCTAATTTGTGGTTTTATGTCAATAAGATGATAATAAAAATAACATAAGCATTTAAAATAAGGGTTTAAAAAGTCAAAATAAATATAAGTGTCACTGAGTTATACGTGAAAAATACAATCTTAAATTTTTTTTTTTTTTAGATTTATTTATTTGACAGAGAGATCACAAGTAGACATAGAGACAGGCAGAGAGAGAGAGAGAGAAGGAAGCAGGTTCCCTGCTGAACAGAGAGACCAATGAGGGGCTAGATCCCAGGACCCTGAGATCATGACCTGTACTGAAGGCAGAGGCTTTAACCCACTGAGCCACCCAGGCACCCCAATCTTAAATTTCTGAAATCTTAAAACCTGCAAGGTAAGTCAGTTATTTGGCTTTCTTAGATTTACAAAATTGAAAAACAAAAAAGCAAAACTCTTGGCAGAGTAGGAAAAGAATAAGTCTTAGTGAAAAATTTGAGTATATATAAAAAATATGAGTACTACCCATGGGAAAAATAGTGAAATATGGGTTGATATGGTGCTCTCCTGTGGGTCAAATCATATTGAGATAAATATTTCAGTGAAAGCTATAAACTCATCAATGAGGGTTACGATATATTTTTTGCATGAAAGTCAGAATCTTACAGTATACTGTATGATTCCAACTATGTTCCAACTCTGGAAAAGGCAAAACTGTGAAGAGTAAAAAGATCAATGATTGCCAGGGTGTGGGAGAGATGAACAGGAGGAGTACAGGGGATTTTTAGGTCAGTGAAACTGCTCTATATGATACTCTAATAATGGATACATGTCATTATAAATTTGTCCAAACTTAACACCAACAGCAAACCCTAATGGAAACTATGGTCTTTGGCTGATGATATGTAGACATAGGTTCATCAATTGGCATAAATATACCACTCTGGGGAGGGGTCTTGGGGGTGGAGGAGGCTGTACTTTCGTGGGGGCAGGGAGTACATGGGAAATCTTTATATCTTCCATTTAATTTTGCTGTGGAACTAAAACTTTTCCAATAAATAAAGGCTATTTAAAAAAAAAGTACTGGGTGGTTGGGTGGCCCTGTCAGTTGAGTGTCTGACTCTTGATTTCAGCTCTAGTCATGATCTCAGGGTTGTGGGATCAAGCCCCACATCGAGCTCCATGCTGGGTGTGGAGACTGCTTGAGGTTCTCCCTCTCCCCCTTCCCAAATTGAGTACAGTGGGCTAGAAAATGTCATATTCAGTATTTTCCTCAGAAGCTTCATACATAGGTATTAAATATGCTTAGCCTAGAATCCTTTCAGGATAATGGATCCAGAACAAAAATGAACTTACTTCACACCCGGACTGAGTTTCCCATGAACATGACTCCTTCTCCTGAGGGAGAACACCTCTTTGGAAAGCATGGTCTCCCAGGCATGTTGGACACAAGGCAGACTCAAAATCTGGCTCCCCTGGAGGGATGTGCATGACTGAAGGGCCTGTGTACTTCAGGCTGGGACTCTGATGCTTGTCCACACTGACCATTGGGCTCTTGATCCATCTTCGTACCTACAACACACAAAAGAAGAAAATGCATTTTACCTCCTGTGATGTTTAACGGGACTCCAGTGGGAAATTTGGTGGAGGGATACTCATGAAAGGAGAGTTCAGTCTCATGACTTCTCCATCTTTCAAGTCTTAATACAATCCAAATGGGTCAATTTGGACCAATCACTTCTTAGGCATGTGTGGTTTTTGGCTGATTATTTCATCTCATTGAGTCTGTCTCCCCATCTGGGGATGATTGGGATAATAATATTTCCTTCCAGGTTGTCATGAAGATTTTACAGTTTTTCAATGTGTCCAGTTTTTTTTTTCTGGCACATAGTGTTTGAGTACATGATGGCTATTTTACTTTTACTCTTACTATTATGATAAAGCTGACAGAATGATTCACAAATGTCTTAGACAAATTGCTAGCCATTCTTACTGGAGGAAACACTAACCTATGATTGCTAGCTTAAGACCTAATTGCTGCTAAATGAATTGACATATATCTCACTACTGCAAAAAACTTGATTATAAAAGAAGTTGCTTCTGGTTAAGAAATTATTTCACAGTTGTTTTTAAAATTTGAAAACTTACTACTTGTCTTCTTTACATGTAGAATTCCTATGAAGCACAGAGAATATAGAAAGCTTTTCTAATATGAAAAGGGATATTGTTTCTATAGCACTTTAAATATAAAAGGAATTGTTGTAAATGTTTGACATAGGTTGTCTTGCTTAATCCTCAGAACAATTTTTACTATTACTAATTCCATTCTACAGATGGGAAAACAAAGGCACAGAGAGCTGAAGCAAATTTCCCCAAGACACAATGCTGGTATTGAGCAAAGTCACCTTGAATCCAAATCTATTCCTTTATGAGAATAGAATTTTAACAAGCATTACAGCACTGTAAGATGTGTGGTCACTGAATGCTTGAAATGTATCTTGGTTTAATATGTGTCTTCCATTATCTTTGAAATTCCTGAGGATTTAGCCCAATTGGTGAAATCAGCATATACCAAAAAAACAAAGAAATGAAATGACAGTATTGAATTATAGTTAGTAATGTTACAATTAAATATTTTAAGGATAGACTGAGAAGAAACTAAAATTGCAATAGCAATAAAGAATTAAGAAATTTAGTGGAATATTATGCTACCACTAAAATTAAATATAAAGACTCTGGTAATATGGAAAATCCTTAGAACATAATTATATGAAAAAAAAAAGGCCAAATACAGAATTGTTCAGTCACTATAATTACAATATAAAAATGTATGTTCTACCTACAGATAAAACAAGAAAGTTAACAGGCAAAATAAAAACTGTTATATTCATTGTTATATGCATTGATTAAAGGTGTTTTAGTTTTCCTCCTTTTTACAGTGTAATTTTTCAAAGAACAATGTCTTAAAGTTTACAAGAATCTCAAACAGTTAAAATTCTCATATTTCTTTCTTTGGTTGCATATGTGTCTTTCAATTGCTTTATTTATATATACTCTTTTCAATAGCCATTTATCTTTTTGGGTTTACCATCCTAATAAATATGTTAATATTTGGGAGGTATCCTTGAGTATTTCTTGCACTCCAAGGTCCCATTAACATATTAGTAGGTATCTTCAAAGTGCTAATTTGATTCATTAATGAACGTCTAAATGAAACTCTAAAAGTATGAAACTATGATAGAATCTCTCTTCCTGATGTTAGGACTAAATGTGTTTTTCATCAATCTAGAAAGTACTAAATTTCATTAGGGATGGAAAATGGTTTGTAGTACTCTTATTCAGAGGGTTTTGAGCTTGAAGTCTGGTGACCATTCTTGACTAGTTGCCAACCTTGTTTTAAATTCAATCTTTTATTCTGGCTTACTTTCAATGTCTCCTTTGCCAAGTAGATTTAACTTTGGGGTTTCTGTGAATGGAATTTTAAGGAGATCTATCTTCAAATGAATTTATATGGCCTGACTGATTAAGAATTTTAGTATATTGAAATGTATATCTTAAATTTATGGACAACTTTATTTAGAGTAAATCTTATATAATACTGTCTTACAATTATTCAATTTATAATGGAAGAATGTCCCTGTGGCTGAATCTAAGCTTTCATTACATTATAGAAAAAACAAACTGGTTTTATCAAAGGAAGAGAATTTAGAGACATTATATCTCAATTCAAAGTACACACTGATCTATAAACTTAATTGATTTGTTGTATATTAGAAATCACTGGGACTAAGAATCACATAGAGAATTGTCATTTCATTTGATGCCCAGCTAAGAATTACCCAAAAGAGCTCAGATTACCTTGAGCATATGCTGTCAAATAACCAATAGATGTCTTTTTAGAATTTCAGAGTTAGAAGATACCCAAAGATATTAGTAATTTGCCCAAAGATACACTGTAAATTATTATGTGGTCAAAACTATACCTAATGGTTTAAGCAATTAATTGAACCAATTTTAACCAGGGTAGAAGTTGGCAAACTCAATGTCTTCAGAGGCTGGCAGGAACAGGAAATATGTAAAGGCCTAAGACCAGCATCTGAACATAGGTAGTGGTAAGGACTATGGCAAACTGGAAATGCAATTAAATTTAAAAACAAAACAAATAAACAACCCCTCCCCCAAGCAAACAAATAAACAAGATTGTGAAAAAAAAAAAAAACCCTAGTCAAATAGACCTCACACCTTTAAGGGTCACAATTTAACTCCTGAAGTTATTCCTTTTTTTCCTTTTTTTTTAAATATTTTGTTTATTTATTTTGAGGGAGAGCGAGAGTGCATGAGCTGGGATAGGGACAGAGGCAGAGGGAGAGAGAGAATTTCAAGCAGATTCCTGTGCTGAGCACCAAGGCTGATGCTGGACTCCATCCCACAACTGAGAGAACAGGACCTAAGCTAAAATCAAGAGTTGGATACCCAACCAACTGAGCCACCAAGACGCCACCTCCTTAAGTTATTCTACCAGGTAGAAATAAGTATGAAGTAGAATTCCATGAAGTAGAAATAAAATGATTCAATATCTTCTAACTTTTTCTTTTCTTTTTTTTTAAAGACTTTGTTTATTTATTTGAGAGAGAGCCAGAGAGAGAAAAGCAGCAGGGGGAGGGGCAGAGGGAGAGAAAGAAGCAGACTTACTGCTGAGCAGGGAGCCCTACATGGGGCTTGATCCCAGGACCCTGGCACCACGACCTGAGCCGAAGACAGGTGCTTAACTGACTGAGCCACCCAGGAGCCCCATCTTCTAACTTTCTCAAAAACAATCTAATGTTCTCAACATTCCTCGTTCTTTTTTTTTTTTAATTTCATTTCATTTCATTCATAAAGATTCATAAAATGAATAAGTGAATTATGATATGTAAGAGGGTAAATAAAGCAGAGAAGATTGATCAGGATCATTAGGGGTGGGAGGGCCTAAGAAGGCAGGAAGCCTTTCAGTAAAGACTTCAGAGGTGCTAAGGCTCTAGGACATCAAATTGAGCTATCAAATAGGCACTTAGACCATCAAGTCTGAATTTCAGAGGAAAGATTCAAGCTGCAAACAAGAATTGGAGACTTGAAACAAATAGCCATAGTCTACTGAAGTCTTTTGGGGGAAAAAACCCAATGACTTGGCTGGATCTAGGTATTAAGCTCATATTTCTGTAAGATAAGGGGCTCTGATTATTAGAATCTATTCCACTTAAACTTACTGAAATATGTGATTTACCCAAGTCTTCTGAGAGTAGGAATGTGTTTTGTGCCTTAACACATTCCAGAAGGACAAGGTGTTGGTGTGGGTGATATTTCATTAGAAAGGCCCAGGGTTCCGAATAACCTTCAACAAATTAACCCATTCTGAGTCCTTTTTTTTTTTTTTTAATATTTTATTTATTTATTTGACAGACAGAGATCACAAGTAGGCAGAGAGGCAGGCAGAGAGAGAGAGAGAGGAGGAAGCAGGCTCCCTGCAGAGCAGAGAGCCCGATGTGGGGCTCGATTCCAGGACACTGGGATCATGACCTGAGCCAAAGGCAGAGGCTTTAACTCACTGAGCCACCCAGGTGCCCCTAACCCATTCTGAGTCTTAAGGACATGGGAACATGATACTGCCTCTCTCTCTCCACAGACAACGTGGCAAGGGAAATTTAGAAATATTCCGTTTTTCCAGAAGCACCAGGGAGAAAGGTGTTCCAAAAAGAGATACAGTGATCCTTTTCGTGGGACGGTTGCTGGCATTCATGACCTGCTATAGTTCTTGAAATGCTTTATCTCCTTCAGCTGGGTCCTTATTCTGACTTCAACATGTTCCTTCCCCGCTACTCCTTTATGCATTTTGTTGGCTTTATAGCCTCCCATGTGGTTTATACAGGCCCGGTTAAGGACTGGGTTTATGATGTTTACTCCATCTCCGGAGAGTGGCTGGGTGGTGAGTGAAGCACCGGGCTCCCCCTCAGGCCTTGGCATCCAGCAAGGTGCCCTCCAAAACCGGTGAGTGGAGCACCACTGCCTCTGCCCCTGAGGGGGTTGGAGCTACAACAGGCCCGTTGCATCCCCTCAGGCTCTGCGGGAGGGAGTAGCTGCCTGTGAGTGGCTTTGGGAGCTCCTCAGAGACCAGTCACAATGGTTTTGGGAAGGCTGCGGCAGCTGTGTGTGTGAGAGAAGTGAATGCCCGGATGTGAGCCTCTGCCCTGACTCCTTGGCCATCTGGGCCCTGGTTTTATTCCGAGCTACTCAGCAACCGTTGGTGGAGAGCCTTGTAAACAAACATAGACCAGGGTGAGACATCCTCCTCACCCTGAACAAATGCAGAATTCCCTCACTCGGGCTTTATAGGAGCCTGTTCTCCCAACTGCAATCGACGATTTTTCAGAAGCCATTACTTCTCCAGACATCGGGGGTGAAAGAGTACGGCCCTGCCACTTACCCATAGGGCTCCTCTTACTGAACAGCGTTTGCATAAAATCTTAATCCAATTTCTTTGTTAAATCCAGTCTGCCCTGGTTTTATTAATTTCTTTATTCGAAAAAAAAAATGAT